CTAAAGGTAGGAATTCTGTCCACTGATTGGGGTTTGAGTGAGATATAAGGGCGGTTTTTAGCTGACGGTGAAAACGTTCTACCATCCCATTAGCCTGAGGATGATATGCAGTGCAGCGTATCCTATTAGAGCCTAGAAGTTTAGCCAAGTTATTAAATAGTTCGGATTCGAATTGCGCTCCTCTATCCGTCGTTATTGTTATGGGTGTACCAAAAATGGTTACCCAGTTCTGCATGAAAGCTTTGGCTACTGTTTCCGCTGTGATGTCCGCTATCGGGATGGCTATAGGGAATCTGGTAAATCGATCTATGCATGTAAAAAGATAATTAAAACCATTTGAACGGGGTAAAGGACCTACCAAGTCGATATGCACATGTGCAAAACGTGCATCTGGTTGCGAGAAAACACCTATGGGTGAATTTGTGTGACGATTAATCTTTGATTGTTGGCATGCTGAACACTCTCTAACCCATTTGTGTACATCCTTCTGTAAATTCGGCCATATATATCTGGCATTGATTAGTTTAGTTGAAGCTTTTGCTCCAGGATGAGACAAAGAATGAAAGTTATTATATATCAACTTTCGCATATTTTTGGGAACGAAAGGTCGCGGCATTGCCTTGGTCGTGTCACAGTAAATTAGAATACCATCGATAGGTGATGGGAACTGTTTTAAATTAAGACTTGAATTGTTTGTTTTGAGTAGGTTTTGTAATTCTAGATCCTGCTCTTGTTCGTGTCTCAACGTCTCGAAGTTTACTGTAGACTGCTGTACCACGTTCATTTCTAGTCTGGATAAAGCATCTGCCGCCTGATTGTCCTGACCTTTGACATGTCGGATATCGCTTGTGAACTGTGATATATAGTCAAGGTGTCGGACTTCTCGAGGTGAGTACTTATCGGCTCTCGCTTTTAATGCATTCGTCAGTGGTTTGTGATCCGTAAAGACTATAAATTCCCTACCTTCTAACATGTGTCGGAAGTGTTTAATAGTCAGGTAGATTGCAAGAAGTTCTCGTCCGAAGGTAGAATACCTTGTCTCAGCTGGAGCGAGTCTTTTCGAGAAGAAAGCAATTGGTTTCCAGGCGTTTTTAACCAGTTGGTTAAGGGTACCGCCTACTGCTTTATCTGAAGCATCCACCATCAAAGCAAGTGGGGAAAGAGAATTCGGATATATCAACGTAGTTGCTTGAGCCAGTTTATCTTTAAGCTGTTTAATAGCTTCGACGGCGTCAGAAGAGAGTTTGAATTCTTTTGGTTTTCCTTTAAGTAAATCTGTTAAAGGTTGCATTAATTGTGCACAACCTGGTATGAATCTGCGATAAAAGTTAATTAGACCTAGAAAACTTCTCATCTGTGTTAGAGAGCTAGGTATCGGGTATTGTTTGATGGTATCCACTTCTTTTTTTATAGGTTTAATCCCTTCTGGGCTTATTGTGTGACCAAGAAATTCTAAAGTTTGAACACCGAAAACACACTTACTTTGATGTATGTTTATTCCATGTTCATTCAATCTTGTCAACACTGCTCGTACATGCTCTTCGTGTGATTGCAAATCGGGGCTGGCAATTAACAAGTCGTCTATATACCCCTGCGCAAATGGCATATCTCGAAGTAGGTTATCTATGAATCTTTGAAATGTCTGTGCCGCATTTCTCAGGCCGAATGGCATGCGTACAAACTCGAATAAGCCAAAGGGTGTTGTAATAGCTGTCTTAGGGATATCTTCATCAGCCACCGGGATATTGTGATATGCCCTGACTAAGTCAATTTTAGTGAATATGTTCATACCCTGTAAACCGTTTGTGAAATCTTGGATATGCGGTATTGGGTACCTATCTGGTACGGTTTGACGGTTGAGGGCTCTGTAATCCCCGCACGGTCGCCAGTCACCTTCATTCTTCTTTGGGACCATATGCAAAGGGGATGCCCATTGACTATCAGACGGACGGATAATACCCAGTTGTAGCATATAATCAAACTCGGCTCTAGCGATTTTGAGCTTATCTGGTGCTAGTCTCCTGGGTTTCGCAAACACCGGTGCACCTTCGGTTTTGATAGTGTGACTTACTTTTAGTTTGTCTTTGGAAGGCTGTGGGTTTGGTTTGGTTAAGTTTGGAAATTCCGCGAGTATATCTTGGAATTTCGCTGTTGTTACTGGAGGGGTTTGAATCAAGTTAAGAGAGCTGATGTGACTTTCTTTGCCTTTTGTGTAAAACGAAGTTTCTTTTAGTGTTAATCGCCGTTTCTTGGTGTCAACAAGAAATTCGTATCTCTCTAGAAAGTCCATCCCCAGTATTGCCAGATCTAAGTCGGCTACCGTGAAAACCCAAGGGAATTGCCTTCTGAACCCCAAATCTAGGGTTAACGTTTTCTGCCCAAATGTCGCGATTGTAGTTTTATTTGCAGCTTGAAGTGTAATCGGGGATGTTTCTCGACTAATCTCAGTTTTATTTCGAGGGATGATGCTAAGAGCAGCGCCAGTGTCCACCAAGAAATTCAAGCCCGAGTTTCTGTCTCTGACATAAAACAAGCGACTGTTTAGGCGCCCCTCCTCAGTTGTCGCGACCTGGGGAGGGGTTACTCGTTTCCCGCTGTCTTGGAATTATGCTTAGGCCAGGCGCATGGTTGCCTGCACTTGGTTGAGTTGACACCAAACTTCCAGTGGTACCAACAAAACTGCCCAGATTGTCTGGACATTTGTGACCTATTTTGTGACTTGGATCGTGATCGTTGTGGTGACCTGTTCCTGTTTGTATGACCCATTTGCATTCTGGTGACAGCCTCAGTGAGACTCTTAACACTCGCAATGAGTCCTTCTATGACGGGGTCTTTTGCTGATTCTACTTTCTGTGTGTGATTTATTGTGCCTGATCCAGTTGGAGGACCTCTTTCCATTATTCTATCAGCTATACGCGCTAAATGAGATAATGAGGTTTCAGGATCTTGTGCATCCAAACAATGTTGGACGTAGCATGGGAGAGCTTGTATCCATCCTTGTTTTAGGACTGCTTCACCCACTGTGTTATCACCCACTAAGACTTGGAGGTGACGTAGAAACTGTGACGGCGACCGATCACCTAGTGTTTCACCTTGAAAAAGTCTTTGGATTCTTTGACTATCTGATAATGATAAACGGTTCATTATCTCTCGTCTTAAGACGGTGTACGGTTGTGGTGATGGTGGATCTAAAATCAAGTCACGGACTTCTTTGGCGACTGAAGGAGGAAGGATAGAACACAAATCTCTATAGCGAATCCCTTCAGATTTGATATTGTGTCTCGTGAAATAATGCTCGAGTTGAGCAAACCACAACTCAGGATCACTACGATCAAATTCTGGAAGTCGAGATTTCGTAGTCATAACAGTGTCTATCTCCACTGGTGACAAATCCTCCAGATTATGGGTTTCTTTTAAGTCTGACATGAGGTATGTGACAAATATAGCAACAAAATTAGCACGAAAAAAAAATGGTTTCTATGACACGAATAACTTAAGATAATAAAAAAAATAAACTATTTATATACCCAACTTAGTTTACGGATTATCAGGTCTACTTTTACGATTGAGTAAAAAAAAATAATATTAATAACAAAAATGAGGTTAATTTGTGTTCAAAAAGGGCTCACCAGTTTCGCGCCTATAGGTAACCCTCGTGTTATTGATAGAAGAAGTCAGACACTAATTGAATGAAATCTTTATTTCGATCTTAGCGCAGTCACAGTGGAGCGTGGGATTATCTGTTCAGACAAACAAAGGCTTTCAGCATTCAATATAAGATAATAAGGAATATAACGCTTATACAAAATAAGGAAGTGAATGAATACTTGAACAATACTGTTTTGGCATATGCTTGGTTGTTTGGGGTCAACTCTTAACCAACCAACCTATGCTGTTACAAATTAACCCAAAAGGGTAAGAAACCTATTCAGGACTGTAGAATAAGAAATGAACGGATTGTTGTGGATATTTTTTACCACGTTCTGTTAGCCATATGATTGTCAGTCTACAATCTTCCTATAAAACGTAAAAATGGTATAGAAATCTTTGCTTACATAACCAGAGAGTAACAACACACTTGAAGATTGAGTACTGTTATATTCTTAACGACGCATATCTAGTTTCATAATAATGAACGATACTATGAGATTTAATTGAGATCATGTACCTATCAGTGAAATTCTAGAATCAATGAACTGCCGTCTCGTCTCATTATGGGACTCCCCAGCAGTGTGCATCCACGACATCACACTGGGAATTCAATCTAAAGACTTTCGATCTCGTGCACAAACGTCTAACCTCTAGACCACTGAGCCGGCACCCGACAGCGTTAACGTCTAACTTCAACCAATCCACGATATTTTTGGACTATCACGCATCGTCTTTGACGAGCAACTGCTGTATGCCCGACACGGATTGGACTTCATTGGTCACAGCTCCGAAAATTACTTCTCGAAGCTATTCACCAGTTAACACATGATAATATTATAAGATCATTAACTTCGTTTAGCTTCATGACTGTAGCGATAAATAAATCTCCAAAATACGTAGTTCTATAAGTCTTGAAGATTGATTTTAACTCCATTAGTTTTACTAGATACACCCTTGATAACGAGTAGGTACACTGTGCAACTCATCTTCTGTAACTACTAGCAAGCACAAATCAACTTCCTAGATATAACTTCGAATTCATTAATTCCTGACTTCGGATTTTACTAGGTTCTTGCACCTCAGCTATATAGGCGTTGCGGGTAAGGTCCTCGTCACACTCCGATTATTTGTGGTATCTTTAGGACTGAAGAGAATATTCATGTCTTCGAGACACCTGTGTCCATTGACCTGTGGTCTAACATACATGTATTAATAAGCTGACGAGTGTTTTCTACCATTAAAACGGCTCGGGTTGTTTTTAAATACAGAAAAAGTGCTTACAAACCATATTCACCTACCATCTATTCAAACAGAAACATGTGATGCACGACAACATTTACATCGCAACATGCAGTTAAAGGGCAGTCATAAATTAGTAACTCAGCCTAATCAAGTTTCGCCTTTAAATATCTTAGGTTAACATTCTACCAGACAAAATTTCACTTATTTGTTGTTCGATATGGATTGAGGATTAGAACTACATTCAACCGTTAGCGTTACATAGCGATGTTTGGGCCTCCGTTTTCTATTAGGTCAGAGACTGCTGCAAAGTCAAAGTCTGGTTTTTTCCGTAGCATTTACAATGACCCATACAAGTGGTAAGTAGCTGCATATCTAAATCTAGATCGGTAGGTCGCTCGTGAAAAGCATCACAATGTTCGCCTCTGCGGTTTCTGGTTTTCTGATCATACGTGAAGTCTTCAATGCCCCTACCGAAACTCTGTAGACAGAAATTTTTGTTATCAAAAAAAAATAAAACATTCTCCTTGTTCGTTTCAGTTCTTGCTACTATATCCTTCAGCATATATGTGCTGAAAGGGATCTATATATTTCTAAACGTGTTCCTCCATAAACTTTGTCCTTAGGTGTCTAAAGTGTCAAGTACAGTATGGCCACTGAAATAGATTATGGCAACTCGTTTGACTGTGTTGAGGTTTCCCGGGCGAGATATAAGCAGCTAAGAGACCGTCAATTGAGGCGACGTCGGGTCATTTTACGACATCTTCTGAGGAACAGTTCATTCTCATTGAGGTTAGAGAACAGCAATCAACTCAGTCTTACTCTGTCAGATTTACTTGGCCACCGCAAACCTTCCTACCTACAGTTTGACGAAGATGTTTGTAGGAAGCGGGCGATTCTGTAAGTTGTACTTTTGTCAGCCTTGCATTCCATACTTGATTTGTTTGTCTACGGAGGACTTAAGTTATCCTAGTAGGAAGTTTATCACAACCACATGCAACCTATTCTTATCATATGTATCGCACTACATGGTGAGAGATAGGATTCTTCGTACACAACAATCACTGTGCATATATAATCCGTTGTTTCTGTGGGTTTATTTCATTTAAGTGCACTATACAAATATTTTAACGACGCATTCAAAATGTTGTTTGTTGGCTAATTGATCCGAATATCATTTAGTGGGTTCTAGCATAGGATAGTACCAAAATTCTTATGTCCAAGCTTCCACAACTCACAGCATGGTGAGGGACGAAATTAACTACAGTGGAAATCGGAACATAAGGAGTACAATTCGGATTGGTACCTAAGTCATCTTTTATTTAGGGTAAGATCAAACGCATTTCTGTGGGTTTTAACCAAGGTTTTCACGTCTCAGTCAAGAAATGTGTCGTTCCTACCTTTTTCGTCTCGTCCCGTTTTTTCCAGTTCGTTACTATATCAGTCAGCGTTGCACGTTAAAGTGAACAATGGTTAGGGATGTGTAATAAAGGGCTGGTCAACTTCCTGTCGAAATCTATTGTGGTTTATATAGTCCGTAACATTGTACAAGATCCCACCTTTTATCCAGTCGTAAGTCATAGGACGGGACGAGTCTTCTTAAAAGTAAGATCCATAAAAATGCCCAGACGATTAAGTATAACATAATACTTTGTGTTTTAGAACTTTTGTATCCAAATGTTTGGGTAATTTTTATTCATTTGGGATACACTAGTCAACTGCTGTTTACACAGGATTTTATTTGAGAAGTCTGTGGTTGCTTTGGATTTTTATGCATATTCACACTATCCAACAATCCCAGTAATTCGTAATTAGTTCAGATGTTTCATAGTTTGTGGTTGGCAGAATCGCTGACTAGTTTCGTCAACATATAATTAGTTTAAACCACTCACTAGTTACTTGTGTGAGTCACACTAAAGAAACGGTCGCCCAAACTGAAGTCGTAGCTGAAAGTCGAACGCCCTAACCACTAAACCGTCGCTTTTCTTAATTCCAAATGCTAAATTGTGACTGTAAAACCATGTTATCGACTCCCTCTATCCAGTATCAAAGTAAATGATTTGATCCAAAACATCGTATTTAGGCTGCGAACCTGTCTTGTACACGCAAATATCGATAATGGAGTGCCATAAATGAGTTTCAGTTTTTCGGTTATTTAACAAATGTCTGGCTAAAGACTCGATTTTATTCCCGCTGGTTTTAGTTGTGATGCTTATTTTATACTTATGCGTATCCATTTAAAATGACCTCTGACAAGTTTTTAAGTTATTTCTTAGAGACAGACAAATTCAATATCCTAGTCAATATATATTATCTCTTGTTAAAATCCTTTTTTGCAACAGACCAATTATTTCTCGTTTAAAATGCCCAGTGCTTAGTCTTAAGCTTCGTCGTGCAATACAGTCTTTCCTAGGAGAATCCGGTACATTAAATCAAGATAATAAACAAATCATACAACAGTGGGATAAATTCAGCCTTGAAGTTGTTGGCGACAAATTAAGACAAACACTGGCATCTTGTATATCAACAAATACAAACAGTAATATAGGAGATAAAGCTTCAAATGACGACAATGTTGTTGGTAAAACAGGAGATTCTAATTGTGATTTGGTCGTCAGAACATTTACTGGTTCAGCTGCTTTTCTTAAAGTATGATGTTTTTAGTTAATTATTGAAATGAGCCTTTTTTAAATGTTTACTAAGCTATGAGAAATATTAAATGAAATTTAATATATATGGGGTGTTAATGACAAGGGTGGGGATAGGTTTTATCATGAATAGTCATTTAAAAAGTAATTATAGTAAATAAACTCATGAATTGTGCAATTTTTTAAAAATCTCACTAACTGGAATTAACCCTCACTGCGTCTTTGTGTATAGCTTGATGATGGGTTTCTTTACTTCTACTATGAAGTGTAACCTTCTGTGGGCCGTTAGTTAGACTGGTTTTAATATTATTGACCGTGCCAAAGTATAAATTGCCCCGTAGTAAAAGTTGATCGAAGTTGAATATAATAGATATTGGAGTTGTGGCCGCTAATACAAAAATATTCCGATAATAAAAGTGGATAGACGCTGTTTCGTTTGTTAAATTCCCAATGTTGCCATTAGACTATACATTTTTGGATGAATGTATGTCAAATTGACTCCCATATGTCTTTAGATTCTCTATATCATGTTATAATTGAACTCGTCACATGATCATGGGTACTTTTTTATCATTCATAACTTAATTACGATGGTTAGTAGAATCAAACCCAGCATAGATTCCCACTCGTCTTCTTTTGTCAGTTCTTAAAGTCCCTGACTGTTGGTCTGACTCATGTTGATAGGCGTAGACTACCTGGTTATGTTCGCATGATAATTGTCATTAATGGTTAGAGACATTTGGGAATAACCATGGCTCAATATCGATCGCATCGACACACTTGTATTCATTTATCCATAAATTTTGGGTTTTAATATTATTTCGTACTTTCAACTTCTGTTTTCCATTCCCTGTATTTAAGATTTTCACTATCATTGATACAGTTATTATTTCAACTTTGTTGCCACTCTTTTTTTAAATTCATCTCGTGTTGATGTGATATATTAGTTTACATCAGTTCAGATTTATTCTAGAACCTACATAGATTATCACCAACTATTTCATCTCGTGTGATTCAATTACCCCACAAAATATTTGATTCGTCACTTTCTGGATGAAAAGACATCAAAGCTCTGTGGATTTTTATTTCGATGGTCAAACTGCTGTACCGATAGTGAATTCGCTAAACACACAAAAATCAGCATTTATTCATCCTGAAGTCATGTTACAAGCTTTGATAGTAATTCTGACTACGGATCGACATCTGTCTAAGATGTTCTGGAAATCAAGGAACACTGGGCATTTGTTTTGTCGTACTTTGGAGTGTTTTTTATCACCATGTCTCTTTTTCGAGATCCAACCCAGCATCATGTTCGTAGACACGTGACCATCAAACTACATGCTTACATTTGCGTATTTTAGTCTTTTTTTATTAAACTACAGCTACGATGCTGCAGAGTAGTTCCCATCTATTATCTTGGTTAATTTCATCTTAAAGATCTAGGGTTCCAATCCCATATCGTAGTAAAAACCACTTTTACAACGTGTTTTCCTTGTTTCTGTCTTTTATTTGAAATAAATGAGTGTCAAAATGGCATTTTGTTCAATGCCACGAAGATTGAACGTCAAGAAACAATTAAGTGATTCTTTGATATCAACAGATGTCTGTTGGCTAACCTGTATGATATAGAATTTCACAGTTAATTAGTTGAAATTACATCCAAATAATCAATACTACATTTTTTCTATTGTTTAACGGTAGCATGTGCATATTTACTGAAATTGCGTTATGGGGTCTTTTTTGTCATCTATTTTATTGGTGATGTTATGAAAATCAATACCAGCAGTACTAATACATCTTATTTGTTTTGTTTTAAATTTTGGAAATCTTATTCTATTTCGTTGTCATTTTCTATGTGGAAATTTCTTAGTTAATTTTCTCTTCCAAACTTATTCTACGTTGTACGTAGTGTTGACAGTCAGTCAGCTACAACGTAGGACCAGGCACATATATGCATCGATCCAAGTTGCCATACCTCATTAGTACAGCAAGATGAACATCGGATTCATAAAAGTAGTTAATTCAGAGGTGGTAATATATAAAAGAAAGATTGCATATGAGGGTATAGTACAGGAAGAAAGAATTCGTTCGTAGAAAGAAGGATATAAAGCTATTTTAATCTCTTAGTTTAAAGAAAGACAGAGTGTATACATCTGCGCCATCGTGATCGATTCTGAGCCATGTCACCAAGAGTCTCCAAGCATTGGTTACGATATTCACGCAGACCCCAACCAAGTAGTCTGTATCTATCAACATAGCTCAGACCAGAAGTTAATGACTTCAAGCACTGATGCCACGTTTTGGTTTGGCCGCCCCTAACTTCCTTCCAACCATTCCCAACACTAGTGAGCATTGCGCGTCGTGGTAATCGGTGTTCAAGCATACGCAACAAGTGGCCCAACCATCTTACTTGATCAACATTCACAACCTCATCAACTGATTTACCATCATTACCTAATACCCTGCGTCTAACTCACGTAGTGTTGGCAGCAAGACTAAAGGAGACGAACTCATTAGGTTGTTAATCTGTGGATTGAAATTTATACTTTCACTTCAATATCATAAACATATTATTTTATGTAATTTGTTTATATTATGTAGGGAACTCAAAGTGCTAATCCACATAATGATTACTGTCAACATTTTGTGGATACTGGTGAACGACCACAAAATTTTATACGTGATACCGGTACGTTTTAAATTTTTCTGATTGTCCTATTATTTCTTATTATAGTAAAAATTCCCATTTTGCCATTTGGTAAATAAAGAAGGAACGAATTGAGCGAAGAAATTTCTTTTCAATTAGTTTTTCACCATGGCTCTACACTAATATATATACGTTTTACAATAATAATATAATACTCATCGAGTAGATATGTTGCGTAATAATTACATAATGACATTTAAATTAACATTGAGTAATTGGAAGAAAGAGGATTATTAATATTCAAAGTAATCAAGAAGTTGCTACGTTGAGTAATATAAGAAACAAAGAAGGAACAGAATTTTAACGGATGGTCAGTAGGATGGTAGTTACGTAAGAATCAAGAGATGAATGTTGAGAATTTATTAAGTTCAAAAGCAACAGAAACAAAATTACAAAAGTTAACAAAAAAATAAGTGGAAGAAGTATGAAAAATGGTTTTTTTTTGAAGGAAATCTTAAACTGTTGGCCAGGGCAGAGAAAGTGGTTGTACGAATCTCTTTTGAATGCAAAGGTCAGGTTTATGAACATGGATTGCGATGCCTTCCGCAATGTGCAAGAGGCGCACTCGTAAACCATGTGGCAAGTTTGATGGGATATTGTAGATAACCGTAAAAGCTTTATTCAATTCGACTTGATGACCTGTGTCAACCAAGTGAGAGAGAATAGAACTTTTAATCACTTTTACCTGTCCTTTATTTAACCACGAAGGATGATGTTCAGTAATGCGATGACGGACGTAGCAACTTCTTGATTACTTTGAATATTAATAATCCTCTTTCTTCCAATTACTCAATGTTAATTTAAATGTCATTATGTAATTATTACGTAACATATCTACTCGATGAGTATTGTATTATTATTGTAAAACATATATATATATATATATATATATATATATATATATATATATATATATATATATATATATATATTAGTGTAGAGCCATGATGAAAAACTAATTGAAAAGAAATTTCTTCGCTCAATTCGTTCCTTCTTTATTTCTTATTACATGTCTTATTTGTCAGCCAATTTCAACATATAGATGATTAATTTGTTTAAGACATAATAGTCATGATCATAATGTTTATGTAGGTTATTCAATGTTTATCATCTAAATTCTCAGTTCATAACAACACAATCGAAATATTCACAGTATAAGTTTTAAGTACTTATTTCTTTATATGTATATATTTCAGGTCTGAGAAATCGATTTGAAGAATATCCTAAATTACGTGAGTTAATTCGACTAAAAGATCAGTACATTCAGTCAAAGGCTACACCTCCTATGTATTTGTGCGCTGACTTACGAACATTTGATTTAAATGAGTTAGATTCAAAATTCGATGTTATTCTGATTGAACCTCCTTTAGAAGAGTATCATCGAATGAATGGTGCTGTATTTGATCAATATTGGAGTTGGGATGAGGTTAGTTTATTCAGTTTATTACTTTTACTGTTGCCAATCTTATCAATATTGCATTTGATTTTATTACTTCATATTTTCATTCTACACTTTGTCATCGAAGATTTCAGAGTTTGAACACTAATTATTGAGAATCGGATTTTCTTTCTATACTACTATTCATTTAGAAATATTTGTACTTGGAATCATTAAGTAAGGACAAACATGAACTTCATTAACTATGTAGAATCTTTTTCAGAACTTCAGCTTAGTAATCTCTTGACTTGTGGAATCTCGAACTAAAAACATAGGCTTTGTTTAAAAACAATCCATATTCATCACTATTCTAAAGTTTAAAATGCTTCTTGGAATCCAATGTGATGCTTGTTCTGAATTTGAGTCGTCATAGTCTCTATTGGCTTCGCTGTATCGTAGCTTATGTTCAGTACACCGTCGTACAAACTGAAATTTATATCTATAATCTATTTTTTTAATTGTGACTGAACCTGACCCAATTATTGTAATTCACATTTAAACTCGGATCCATTGTGAAGTATATTGCTAAGTTTGAAGGGTGATTGCTTGAACTGAATGAACAACGATTTTAACTCACCACTCAATATAACTGACACTTCATCACTCAAATTTTGTCTCTTTTGTCATTGTTATAAGAAATTTTCAAAAATGTACATATTCCCTGTTTACCAATATTGGTATAGATTGAACGTTTAGAAATTGAACAAATCGCTGCTCCACGTGCATTTGTTTGGATATGGTGTGGGTCAGGTGAAGGTTTGGATGCTGCTCGAAAAGTAAGTGTTTCAAACTTTCTTTATCAACTGTAAATAATAAAATTGACTAGTTCTTGAAACATTACGTTAGTAATGTTGCGGTTGAGCAGTGTATATGATGATAACTTATTCGCATCACATTGAAACAGTGAATTCTGTTGCCTGAACACGCTTAACAACTTTCTTCGCAGCGACTTTACTATCCTATTCGTATGGCATATCTATTCCGGTGCTCAGCTGTACTAGTATTTTTATATATTAGGTCAACCAGCCATCCTCAGTGTAGAAGCTCGCATAGATGTGCATTGTCTCAAGTTACAACACATTCACAAATAAATAACTAAATCTTCTGGTTTGAAAGGAGCGTTAATGATTATCTAAGTCACTGCAAGTGACTATTCAGTTTATTTTAGTTCGATAATATATGCCATCGTCACTAAATGTATCCATCATATGTATACTATACAACTCCTGAGAAATTCTTCATTTTATGAAGAAATATTCTTTTATCAATAGACTATCCAACATTCATTTTCCTTTGAAAGGACTAGTCGATTCTTCATTTTCTTCTAGTGCTTACGTAAATGGGGTTTTCGTCGTTGTGAAGATATATGTTGGATCAAAACGAATATCAATAATCCAGGACATGAAGCTCTTGAACCGAATTGTGTTTTTCAACGTACAAAAGAACATTGCTTAATGGGTATACATGGAACTGTTAGACGTTCCACTGATGGAGATTTTATTCATGCTAATATAGACATTGATCTGATCATTGAAGAAGCTCCTCCACAAGGCAGTTATGCTGCTAAAGATAAACCAACCGAAATTTTTCACATTATTGAACATTTTTGTCTTGGAAGACGAAGATTACATTTATTCGGTAGAGATAGTACATTAAGACCCGTGAGTGAAATATACATACATATACATAATAATATTGGTTTTCTGACTTTAATCATTTGCTTTGTTCATACATGAATCATTTTTACTAATAAGCCTCATCCTGAACTGATATCAGATTAAACAAACATTTGAAACTTATAGTACTAGAAAATAGAGGCATATTTTTTAAACTAATCGTGTGATAAATCAACTTGGATTTGTGAGGATTTATTTCTCCATACAAACTTCAAATCTTGAGTAACACGCAAATTACGAACTATTATTAAGCATTTGGTCGCTCAAATAATCCTCGGTTGCAATGGATCTATGAAAGACTATTCACACTCTTCTCATGAATGAAGTTGCATTGTTAATGCTGATGGTATTTATCTTACTAACAAATGATGTGTGTTTCTCAATTAAAAACGTTCCGGTCACATACTTGATGTAGTATGTATGTTAATATGATCGTTTAATATGACAATTTGTCAACCTCAGATTTAATTGCTTGGAAGACAAAGTTAAAAATACTCGTCCTAATGACGAAAAATCGGAAATTTCCCGCAAGACTATAGATATGCGAACCAAATTATTCAAAAGTGTACGGTAAACAAAATATCAGTTGTGAGATGTGTATATAAAATCAGCTGGGCTGTTACTATGTCTGACCATACAGTATAATAAAAATGTTGTCACAGTGACCAACATCTTACAAGGTTTCCTGTGATAAATTTTTTATTTATTTCCATGTTGAAAAGGAAGTTTTATAAGTCGATGTAATTAACCTTTAAGTGATTCTCTTTGTTCAATTACAACAGAATTAAGGTTAGCGATATTTCCGAATTTAGAAAATAACATTTGTCAGAGTTATTAGTCTGAGAGAATGCAGAAAAATACATATTAACTGGGAACATCTACATTATTTTAATGAATTACAGTGTCTATGTAAGATTGAATGTAATATTTTACATGAAGTTGTTACGAATGTTTAGTTCCGCCTTCATCATAATACGTTTTCTCTTATATTAGGGTTGGGTGACAGTAGGTAATGAACTATCTGCATCGAATTATGACCCGCGTATATATGCTAATAATTTTAATAAAGACCCTAATGGATTGTTGCTAGGAACAACTGAAGAAATTGAGCGATTACGACCGAAATCTCCACCACCACGTCATACAAACCCGAATACTGCAACAGGTGCTCCCAACACAATTTCTTCGCTTTCAGAAGTTATACCTGGTCCTGCTTTGCCTACTGGACATATACCTCATTCAATAGCTTCGACATGTTCTGTTAGTAATTCTGTTGTATCGAATATCACTTCCATTCCTGGCATTTCTGGTAAGTATCTATAAAATTGGAGTGAAATGCTTCAAATTTCCAAGCTTATACATATTAAGTTCGGTGATTGCATCCTCAACTATGAGAGTTATTAATTCAAATTTGATTTTCTTTTTTTTGATAATAGGAAAGGTTAATTGCATAGTAGAAGAATAAACTTCCTAATCTGTGTACATTATTTAATAGTCTATATTGTATGCTAGTTTTATTGCGAATCTTTCTAGAGAGTTTAAATTTTTGGGTTACATGATCATTATAAAGTTAAGGTATTGGGGTACAGGAGTAGTAAGCTGTTTTTATGTCAATTTTGATATGCTACTTAGGGTCAGACTATAGTAGTTTTGCGGCGGTTTACAGATCTTAGCAATTAGAAATGAAACTTAGGATCTTCATCTCAATGCTTTAATTTTAAATCACTGAATTGGAATTTAGTGCCTCAAATTTATAATTTCAGTTGATAGGTGATATACCACAACGGACATCCAGTACGATCGGTTAGTAATTGACACACTCACGATATAGTTTAACTAAACTCCAGCAAGTTATAATCAAAATAAGAGACTACCACAAATATGTGTTTACTCAATTTGCTGAACCACGTTACCACAACAAGGTGAATAGTAAAGGGGTCGAAATAATTGTAACAGTGATGAGAATGATTCAGTATCGAGTATATAGTTCGAAAAGAAAATGTACCTACTAGCGTAAAGTAAACAAGTTAATAAATTATAGTTTATGTAGTGTTAAGTCCATTTCTTTGATTTTGTTTCATTGTTCTAGTTCACACTCTTCTACTCATATTTCTATCATAAATACTGCTTATTGAGTCTTTATTTTTACCTTGGTTAATTTTGATATTCACTTAACTGTATTTACTTTTGCAATGGAGATCATTTCTCTACATTGATAATGTGTAGTCATGAAAATTCCAAATAAAGTTTTGACTGATACATTACTCTTTCTGTCGGTTTATCTTTTTGTCAAGATAAGGATTTTTATGCACAAAATATGTTAAAGGTTGGTTGAATTTTTACTTATCAATGTGATCATATCTTCTCCTGTTATGATTTCCCTTATTACAACCCAGCTTATTCCTATTGCTTAGTATTCTTTTGCACACTCGACAAGTCACCAAATCAGAACACGGTTGAACAGGAAGGAAATTACATTCCAAATAATAAGGTTCGATGGAAGTCAGAAGCACAATAAAAGAGATGTTAGTATATTTATAGTTTTTACATGAGAAGATTCTAGAGTCCTCTCCAGGTATTGACTAGCGCTGATTGTATAAGAACTAGTCAATCAGCGTGCACCAACACAATCGTTCATGGAACGTGCTTTAATTCAATCTATGTCCTGCTAACACCTCCATACATTCACTTTTTGATTCTCATGCTCTTTCCACTTCACAACTTTCTTAGTTATTATTCTCACTTGTTTTTCCTAGGCCACCCTATACGAAGATTTAATGCTACAAATGTAATTAAACCTCTCAATTCTATTGGGTCATTAACTAATTCTTCACTTTTGGGCTTACCATCAGTTTTACAAAGTGTAACTAATCGAATTGGTCCCAGTAAGTGAAAATATAGCAATTGAAACTGAATTGATGATTTACTAATATTATATAAAAGATTCATTGTCATATCACTAATTTTGTTGTCATTCCTTCTCATGAATAATATAAAATTATACGTTTAATGGTGGGTCTTGGATCTTGAAGATAAATGAATTGTCTTATGAACTTAAACGTTCTGTAACTTTTTTACACGCTTTATTGTGAATCAGTGTATGTGTGTAAATCGAAGCAAAAATCATAAACGAATGATTCGTTTTACAAATGTGATATCTGAGTTGCTTTAGGATTATTCATGTTTAGTTAGTCAGTCAATCAGTAACAACGTAGAACTTCGTACGTATGTACGTACATCAGTTCGAGTCGCCATACCACATTAGCACACTGTTCATGTTTAACCCTTAATTGGAGGATACTTCATATATTTATTCACTGTTAGCTTTATTATCAGAATAATACATCAGTCCTGTTTTAATAGTTTCAAGGCCTGAACTAAGGGTAGGGAGTGAAGTAGTCGAACACGTCGAAAATTTCACTTATGTTGGAAGTCTGATCAGCCGAAATGGGTTGGTGTCTGACGAAATCTCAGCACGGATTCAAAAAGTTCGTTTGTCTTTTACCAAATTACGTCACTTATGGCAAAGGTGAGACATCTACGAGTATACTGCGCGGTCGTTTCTTTCTGTTCTACTTTACGGCTGCGAAACGCGGCCATTATGAGTAGAAGATATTCGTAAGCTACTAGTATTTGACAACAGATACCTTAGAAATATTGCTCGCATCCAACAAAAGATTATCTATGAAGGAAAGAATTTACTTCTGAAATGTAGTTTGAATTACAATAAAATTATCATATCATTTACCAAGTTGTTTGTAATGAAAAGTCAGTTTTGTGTAGTACAAGTCAAGTAAATGGTAGTAATATCACTCAACAGTGATAATGAAGACAAGTTACAATCTATAGAAGGCAACTTTATGTTATGATCTTAGTTTGATATCTCTTAAAGTATGTTTTCTTTCAGATTTTTCCATGACTTTTTGTTTCTTTCCCAGATACGAGGCTTAATACGCGTACACCGATTAATGCATTGTCAACTTCTAATTCTCCACGAGCACTTGCTGCATTACAGGTTGCTGCAGCTGCTCATCAAAGCTCTATTCATCATTCACATGATTCTCCTCTATGGTCAACTCCAAATAATTTTTCCGTTGCGTTGGCTGCTGCAGCAGCAACTCACAATTTACCTCTTGCATCAGCATTGAATTCCTTAAATTCAAGGACTCCTATTTCTGATTCACATTTACTTCCTGGACTTACCAACGCTAATAAACTGAATCCTACTCTGTTAGCAATGTTAAATTCTTCAAATCCCGTTGGACCAGTAGGTCTATCATTACTGAGTAGTATTATTCGAAATAATGTTTCTGGAAAGCATCCTAATAATCCATGGCATTGAATCTTGAATGATATTACTCTTTTTTGAAGTTATGTATCATTATTTTGATGTTAACTGTTATATTTTCATTTATATCCCAACCAAATAACAAGAAACTTACTTACAACTGTTACTCCTCGTGAAGGAACATAGGTCGTTCAACAGCATTCTCCATCCAACCCTGTCCTGGGCAATTCCTTCCAGCTCCTACCAGTCATCATTCATCCTTTTCATATCTGCTTCGATTTCCCGACGTAATGGGTTCTTTGGTCTTCCTCTTTTCCGCTTCCCTTCAGGATTCCAAGTTAGGGCTCACCTCGTGATGCGGTTTGATTATTTGCGTAATGTATGTTTTATCCATTTCCATCGTCTTTCCCTAATTTCTTCTTCAGCTGGAAGCTAGTTTGTTCTCTTGCACAGAAGGCTGTTGCTGATGTTATCCGGCTAATAGATGTTGAGTATCTTGCGTAGAAAACTATGCTTAAATAGTTGTATCTTCTTGATGATGGTTGTAGTAGTCCTCCAAGTTCCAGCTCCACACAGTAGGACCATCTTTACGTTCGTATCGAAGATTCTGACTTTGATATTGGCTGAAAGTTGTTTTGAGTTCCATATGTTCTTCACTTGTAGGAATGCGGCCCTTGCTTTGCCCATCTGATCCTCCTTGTTCATCGATGATACTTCCCAGGTATGTGAAGGATTCTACATCTTCCAGAGTTTCGCCATCAAGAGTGATTGGATTGCTGTTCTCCGTGTTGTATTTGAGGACCTTGGTCTTCGCCTTTTGTATGTTGAGGCCTACTGATGCAGAGACTGCTGCTACACTGGCTGTCTTGATCTGCATTTGTTCGTGTGTATGGGATAGGAGGGCTAGGTCATCTGCGAAGTCCAAATCGTCTATTTGTTTCTGAGCTGTCCATTGTATACCGTGTTTTCTCTCAGATGTGGAGGTCTTCATAATCCAGTCGACCACCAGAAAAATGAGGAAGGGGGGATGTAAACAGCTTTGTCTGACTCTGATGCTTACTTGGAATGGACCTGTCAGTTGCGCTCCACGCACGACTTTGTAGTGTAGTCCGTCGTATGAATTCCTTATAATGTTGACAATCTTCTCAGGAACTCCATAGTGTCGAAGAAGTTTCCATAACGTTCTCCTATCTACACTGTCAAATGCCTTTTCATAATCAATGAAGTTGATGTATAGTGACGAGTTCCACTCAACTGATTTTTCGACGATGATCCGTAGTGTTGCAATTTGGTCTGTGCATGATCGATCCTTACGAAATCCAGCTTGTTGATCTGGAAGTTGGGCGTCTACTGCACCTTTCTGTTGAAAACTTTCCCTGGTATTTGACAGCAGTGTAATGCCTCTATAGCTTTCACATTTGCTCAGATCTCCTTTCTTTGGAATCTTGACGAGGTGCTCTTCTTTCCAGTCCATCAGCACTTGTTCCTCCTGCCAAATCTTTTTGAATAGGAAGTGAGGCATGTTTGTAGTTATTTCGATGTCTGACTTCAGTACTTCAGCTGGTATGTTGTCGGGTCCTGCTGCTTTCCCGTTCTTAATTTTTCTGACGGCCATTCTGATTTCTTCCTTCGTTGGTGGGTTGACGTCTACGGGAAGATCTGTGTATGCCGCTTCGATGTCCGGTGGATTCATTGTTGGGTGCTCATTACCCATTTGATCCTTGATTTCTTAGCCCTGTGGGTACATAATAGATACACCAACATTCATGTAAAAACACATGGTAGAAAATAAATCCTCAAAAGAAATAGTTCTGTAAGTCTTCGACCTTCGTGATCACTTCGTTATTTGAACTGGTCACACCCAGCTGAAGGACTTCGGCACCACGTGTGGATAAGCAGTGTTACGCATTTCTTGCGACTGCTACCAAGCTCGGCGGGTCTTGAATTTCGGTGCGAAATTAACTATTTGATTTGGCTAAATATTTATGGCATTACAGTTCATACCAATTCATGATGAAAACCCTAAATCTAATTCCCAACCCTAACCGTCAACTGTAAATATTAATCGTAATTCCTCACTTGGGTTTATAACCCTCATTAAGCCGTAGTATGTAGGTAGACGTTCTTAAGGTGCTGATCGTAATACAGTGTACTTAGGTATACTAATAGTGTTTTCCCTATTTTTCCTACTGGTTCATACCTAGCTACTTTTGTATGTCTTAGATATATATGTTAGGGTTGAAGCTTCACGAGTTCACTTAATCTGCGAATGAGAACAAGACTCAGTGACCAAAGATCAGTAATCTTGCTATTGATGCGTTCCAGACACGCTATCCTGAAAGAAGAGTCCAAGCTTGGTATGGAGAATATATTCTACAAACAGCCAGTAAACAAGCGAGCCTACAAACACAATTTAAAACGTAGATATACAAATACATATATAATCGACATTGTCATGGGAAATTTTTAAACATTAATCAATGAATTCATCAATTAACTGCTATTTAAACATTTAATCGATAAGATGAAATTACAAAATATGAGTTTTGGGGATCTATCGTCCCCAACACTATATAAGGACTTTTGTTGTACACATAAAATTCAAAACAATCACTTTTTCAATCAGCTTAGCAAGATTCCACGTAGATCACATCTCTTTAACAAAACACAGGCATTGTTGAGTATGTCTTTATGGATATTCTGTGGGTAATATTTTTATTATCTGATAGACGTTTACTCTCTTTTCGCGAAGTGCTACAAAATATGCTTCTAACTGAATCGTCATTGTTTCGTGGGGCTTTACCTCCATAGACAATTAAATATGTTATTGTTCTCAGTTATCTTTTCATTCTTTTAATATTGAGCTTAAAAGTTCCGTGGCGGTTAATAACTCCTTAAAATAAATAGTTTTATAAGTATATGGTGCTGATGCTGGCCTTGTTATTTCTAGTCAATACCATCAACTTAAGACCCGAGACCAAGCATACCATCGGATCGAAACATGGCCTAAAGTAGATCATTTCTTCCCCGATTAGGACCCGAATTCTCTGTTTATGTAAAGCTGACAGTTTCAGTCGTCATAATGGATTAAAATGGAAAAACCTACATAAGGCTGACAAAGACTTACTTCTCACTCAGAAACAAACCTCAAATGAATATTTTCAACACGGTATGGATGTAACGGTTCGAAATAATTCTGGATCTAGTATGAATTCATATTAAATATATTATTGTGCCGCCAACTTCGAGCAAACTCCCTTAAGATTTTTAAAAATCAATACCTCTAACTGTCACGGATAGGTAAATCATTAGAGACAAGCATGACTTCGAGGTTAGGATATATAAATAAGATAGCCATATCACGGTGCGTAAACTTGTAAATAAGATCTATCGGTCCGCTAGTTTATATAACTACAATAATCATAGTCCCAGAAATCACCCGGTTTCCATCTTATTGCATGACATAAGTGAATTACAATTTGTTTTGCTTTAAACGGTTCAAAATATATGCGGTGAGAATGTGTACTTTTAAGCATTTATGTCTGAATGTATGTAACGGTAAATGAATTCCGGAAATCAATGTCTCTATAAATTTTCGTCATTTGATTCTGGCCGCATAAGTTTAATCGGACTCACCTCAATACGATTGGTCACGTGTCTGCACCATATCTCCAGTGTGTACGCTGTGCTCCACATCCCTTACAACCGCTAGTCAGCTTAAATTAGTCCATTCCCAATACATCGATAACCTATCAAGTATATCCCCGAACCTCTTCGTTCCTGACTCCTGATATGACTAGGTTGGCCCATTTCGATTATAAAATGTGTTACTGGTTAGGGCGTTATCGAACTTTGACTACTTGTGGCATCTTCATGTTGATTACGCCAATTGAAGCGATTCCAGAACATTTTTCAATTAAAATGACTTTCGATAAGTCAAAGTCTACTTCCGTAGCATATGCATGTGCGCAAATTATCTATTATCTTCCCAGCATGTCAGATAGAGTCGGGAACCATATATTTGTAAAAATAAGCTAACCTTAGCGCTGGAGAGGCAAGTCGTACCGAATGTCCGTTGCCGTGAGTCGGTTCCTATATTTTTTTCCCAACCAAATACTGAATCTAAGACAGCTGACTACGAATCTAACATAAACATCGTCCGTCCTACTAGACACTCAAAAAGCTTTACAGGAGCCAGGTCAAAACTCATTTAAACAGAAATAGACTTAATTATATTTGTAGTAATAAAAAGTCCTTCAAAAAGAAGTCACACAAGCAACACTTACTGGAGGAAATTGAATGCAGACAAACAGTCATTCCATTTTCAGCAATCGTTTGAATAAAGTAGATGTTTTTCTGCTTGTAGACACCTTTCTAAGTCAACTATTTTCTACTTCTGAACTTCATCGGATAAATATCTCCATCTTAATGAGCGGTAATTCTTTAGTTGTTGTGAATATGTTGAGTATGTGTAAAATAAATCGTAGTTAGATTGGTCAAGGCTCTGTATCAGTGTTTTCAGATTTCGCAGTATTTGCCAGTCTACCTTCCGAATTTCAGTTGGAATATTTGTCATCAAGTGAGAATTGTCTTAGGAAACTTACGACAGGAATGTTGGCGCCTGTTGGACACTTTCAGTCCAGCAATCGAAAGTCCTTTATCGTCTCAAAAAGGCTTATTTAAAGACCTACAATAAAAATATCTGAATAATGATAAGTATAGTGCCGGATTAACGGAGTTTGGTATATGAGCTCATAGAAGCCTTAAAATCTTGTATGGAGTGAAATTCAAGGTTAATTACGTTAAAATGGAATATCCCTGAGTAGCGTGGATCTGAACGTTACTGGTGTAACAATCGTATACAGGTCACATAATGGCATAGAGGGCGTCACGAACAGCCCAAGATGCAGACTACATGTAGAAAAAAACTCGAAACAATCATTCCATCTCACGCTCGTTGCTTGCCGAAATCATCGACTCAGCATTTCGACATAATTTCAGTAGTGCCTGGGTTCATTTTCTCTGAGAAACAACAGCACCTATAAAAACTACAGGTTAAAGTCAAATCACAGTCGTCCGCTCTTCTGACTTGGTGCGTGCTACTTATGTCGACAGGTGTAAGCAGTATGTAACATCAGCCGGAAACCTTGTCAGAAGGCTTAGATCAGCTTGAAGAGGAAGCAGAAATGGAAGTACAAAGTGATTATGACTTAGAAGTGTCATACAGGATGTGAAAGACGAAATTTTACGAATGAAATATTCGATGTGTAGTTCTTATATTTTATAAAAAGATTATGTGATTTTTGTGCTATTGTAGTGGCATTGGACCATAACCACACTATCCTCAAAGCTGAATACGAGATTACTCGGAAAATAGATATTCAATATTTAGCGCGAAGAAATACCTAACGATGGAGTAGGCGCGAATAATGAACTGAATGAATTAGGGTTGATCGAACGGCATGGCTCGGCCATGCAGGCGTGGCCTCTGCTGAATGTTACCTTATATCTTCTATTCATATTAAATATATTGTTCTTTCTCTAGCTTAACCTTGTTCTACATCATGTATTGGTAATTGATACGATACAGTGAGTTGGTGTAGTTGATGGTGTGACTTCCACGTAAGATCTTATAGATTAGGCAGTCATATCATGACAAATCTACAGATTTAGGATTAGGTCTATTATTAGAGCAGTACTAATATCATAGTAGATCATAATCCCACACTATAATACATTTGGTTGTCCCCACTTGTATGTTCGTTCATTACACTGGTACGTTTATCAACAGTGCGATAAAGTCACACAAAATGAACTGATATAAAAAATGAGAAGGTTGAGTTTGTGTCAACCGTATTGATCCATAACTAGATATCCAAATCGTTAAACACTGGCTCAAACAGACACATGACTACGGGAGTAAAAACACAAGCTTATACCATGATGTATTTACCGACTGTTACTAGTACCTCAGTGTCTGTTAACGGTGAGAAGCAGTGAGTGAAAAACAGGGGGGAAAACTGATATAGCACAGCACCGAAATCGCAACAAATGGAAGACAAAAGTATTGGACAAGGCCCCTTGGCTATATCTAATGTTCAAGTGCTGAGGAGTGGCCTGTTAGAATATAGGGCAAACTTTGATGAAGAACAGTGAGAAAATACTGTGCAATGCTAAAATGGTTATTACTTAAGTAAAACTATGCCGCTTGTATAAGGACCGAATGATAGTAGATGGTAGAAGATAAACGTTATAAAGACATTTTTCTGCCTACATAGGTTAAGTGATCCTCCAAATACGAGTTAGATATGAAAAACTGTGGTCCTTATGAGATGCGACTAGAAGATTAGCAAGTACCGATGAACCAACCAACATGGTGGTACGAAGAGTGCCTAAGCTAGCACACAGCATTCGGAATGGTGCTCACGAACACGATATGGGAAAGTGACAGTAATTTTACGTATCGTAAGCATTCAAACCGTCAGTTATTAGGGTGTGAGAGCTTCATCGTCTGTTACACCTCACAGCCATTAGGTTTCCCCGTCTAGGGGCTGTGAATTTCAGAGTACGTTAGGACCTAAATGTGGCTCTTCATGCTTCATTCAACTCGAAAAATGACTTCTCCAGTAACGTGAAGTGCTTTTAACTTCGATCTAGATCAACAAGACAACAACACAAGATCACATTCAACACACCTCCGTCTCGATTGACCTTAACCAACAACTACTAGTATAGAACACAGATAATACGGTATCCTTAGTTGAATAAGCTACATAGAGGGAAGACTACAGCGATCAGTTCGAACTCAACTGCCAAAAATACGTTAAACAACGATCTGCCTACGAATCAGAAGATCGTTACCTCTGTATAGAAGCATCAGACGATTAAACAAACCACCAATTTTCCTGAAAGCAATGTTAGGAGAATAAAAGACAAACTAGAAGAGATCAAAATCACGTGACGATCATAGTCCTCATTGAAACATGGTTATCTCCCAACTTCACAGATAAAGAGGTGAGCTTGCGAGGTATGACAATTTTCCGATTCAACAGGGTACACAAAATACAAAGAGTAGTGCAAATATACATTAATTGTCACATCGAAACCATAACACTACACAGTACCGAACTAATCAAGGTGACGGAACAATCCTGGTGTTGCTTCAATGTAAACGACAAGAAATTCTCGATTGAAGGAACATACTGAACCTCCGTGGGTTCTAATGCAAAAAAAGATTAAGTAACACTGGCAATAATCAATATATTACACATCAGATTTAGTCCAATACAATTATCTGAAAATCTCAGAAATTCATTCCTAAATATCAACATGCCAAGTACGACCCTTACAGGGCAGTTCCATGACTCGCCACAGACCTTAGAAGTTCAATGCTTGTTGAACGTGCGAGACAGTCAACTAAGCGGGTGACAGGGCTTAAACATGAATCTCATGGGTAGAAGATGGTGTATCTTCTACTATCATTCGGTCCTTATACAAGCGGCATAGTTTTACTTAAGTAATAACCATTTTAGCATTGCACAGTATTTTCTCACTGTTCTTCATCAAAGTTTGCCCTATATTCTAACAGGCCACTCCTCAGCACTTGAACATTAGATATAGCCAAGGGGCCTTGTCCAATACTTTTGTCTTCCATTTGTTGCGATTTCGGTGCTGTGCTATATCAGTTTTCCCCCCTGTTTTTCACTCACTGCTTCTCACCGTTAACAGACACTGAGGTACTAGTAACAGTCGGTAAATACATCATGGTATAAGCTTGTGTTTTTACTTCCGTAGTCATGTGTCTGTTTGAGTCAGTGTTTAACGATTTGGATATCTAGTTATGGATCAATACGGTTGACACAAATTGAACATTCTCACACACACAATCACTCGAAATTAAAGATGTACAAATCCATCTCTAACTAAAAACTGAGTGAAAGCAGTGCAGTTGAGTGGTTAAACAAAATACATGAAACACAATCAGATATCTAGAATCGTACTAAATTAACAATCAGCGAGCACAAAGCAATCAATTGGTTCATACAAGCTGCAACATGGATATTGGATATTGGAAGGTTTATGAAATCGAATTTTGGATAGAGCGCTACGGTTCCGACTGTTTATATTGTCGTGATCGGACGTTTGTGTTGTTGCTAGTCGTCTGTTGAAATCATTACCAAAATGTGAGGATATTATATGTACCTTACGAATCGGCTTATTTCTTTTTTTGCGCCCATTCCTGACAATTTACACCCGTCTTAGCACACTATGCAACTTCATATTAGACGCAAGCTTAGAAATGACTGACATTTATACTGTTCATATGTATTTCATGATGTTTGTAATTTGTACGTTATTACGTATTGTATAGTGGCTTCTACACTGCGTATATTCCGTGATTTCTACCTCTTATTCCATGCGGTCCTAGAGTTGCTGTTAATATTTCATAGTAGTCCATCAAACTTGTTTCCCCTTAATTCATAATTGGGATAAACGATACAGTTTCAGAAGAGCTATACTGCGGTCATAAAATACATTAAATATAGATAATTTCAATGTATTCATTCGAAGTTAGTCATCATTCCCTGCAAATTATTTTTTAGTGTTTGAATAGAAACTTGTCAAATTATTTTAGTTCTGGTGTTTTGTTTATGCAGGGCTTTTATGTAGGTTTCATTGTGTTCATAGTCGACACTTGACAGTTACTTTGCAAATGAGAATCGCTGAAATGATTATGTCTTTTGATGCAAACACGAGTTTTTCTAAATGTAGCCTCCAGAAAAACACGTTCAGTTCAGAATCTCTTGGAGTGAAATCCTCTGTTAGTACAAGATCTCGGATTTTCATCTGATGTGTTCTAGTCTTTCACAATCGACTTCGTAAAATAAGCTGACGGCTTTTGAAGTTGTGCCGGTGATTAACATCATACATGGCTCACATACTTCTAATTATTTCCTCTTGAGCACAAGAAACGTTCTTGAAAATAGTTTTAAATAACCAATGTTGAGCTGTTTTGGATACTAGTCAGACAGTAATTATTGTTGCATGTTTGCTTCACTAAAATCTCATATGGGCTTCGTCTAATTATTTTTTCTGCCTGCTCTTTTAGATGTCAGACAGTACTGTGATCGACAGATTTCGTCTTTCCATTTACTCATATAGATTAAGTACTTTAAGTAACTGGCCTTATGATGGGAATTCCCCTTGTACAGCTGAGAAAATGGCCAAGTCTGGGTTCTACCGACCGAATCCAAACTGTCCAACTACTACACAGTGTTTTGTTTGCATGAAAGAGTTAGAAGGATGGGAACCTGATGTAAGTTAACATTTCTTCCGGATTGGGCTACCAAGACTTTGTTTCAAGTAATATATGAAATTCAAAATGTTTCACTCTATTTGAATTTTATGAACGTCTTACGACGTTTACAAGTTTTTATTAATTCGAACAAAATGGTTGTGTGTTTTTATTGATGCCAGTGTTTGCAATTGATTTTTGCACGTTCACGAAGGTATACCGTAGGTTGTACCGTTGTGTAATCTTAAACTAATCCTGTATCTTTATGTCCCATTTTATGTAATGCAGTGAACTGATGGGAATAAGGGTGATAGATTCTTCAACAGAATTTAATAATTTAAGAGTCACGCTAACCATTGAAAAAGTTATGATTAACAGTATCTTCATCGATGTGAATTCGCGTTGCCTACTTTTCCCAAATTCAAATAAAATGTGTTCTAAGGTTCCCGAATTTTTACTATTCATATTAGTTTAAGGTTCATTTGTTACTCAGAAGCGGCTATTTAAAGAATTAGGTGCTTGTCCTCATTTCTTTTATGAGATGCAAATAAATGTACCTTGTGTTTGTAATAATAATGGGAACAGTTATGAACTTCTGTGATGTTCACTCACGTTTGTTGGCAGCTTCTTTCCAACAAAAGTTGTAGTGATTAGTTACCCAGAAATGAAAAGACGAACTTTGGCATGGGAGAAATTATTGTCTTTTATGAAAGGGTTCGTAGAGTAGACTTAAAGTAAAGTGGAATGAATAGAATGCAGTGAAAATATACATCTCACAATTATAGTCATTTTTTCAATGAAGTTTCCTCCTTATTCATCGACTACTTTTTGAATGTCTTAATAAACTTAATAAATTACAGATTTCTATTTCCGTGAATTGAGTAGCTACATGGTTAGAAGCTGTATCTCGGCTTTGTGAAATTGCTTAAGGTGTTGGATGAGATATAAAATTATTTACTCCTATGACATCTAATCCCATCACCCCATGAGAATAAGAGAAAGTTAAATGCATAGATTCATAATTATTCAGATAACTAAAAAAAACAGACTAATTCATTTACTAGGTACTCCGGGTATAAGCCACGCTAAACGTAAGGGCTAGCAATACCACAAGATTGCCCAAACCGAGGTATTTAGTGTGGGGCCTTAACTCAGACCGTAGTGGTTGAAATTCAAACACCTAAACCATTAAGCTCTGCTGCATATTCAGATAAAGAAAGCTATTCACCCGAGATATCAGTTATGTAGTCCAACACTTACTCTTGTTTGGATGCTTTTATGCCTGTTGTTTTTCATTAAAAGTGTCAAATCTATCATACAATCTCAATATGTCCTTAGTTAAGTTTTTTAGTTAGTTCTGGGCTTGATGCTCAGAACATATCCTGTTGGAATTTCACTTTTGCATACGATACTTGTGCTTTCATTTTTTTCGTTTTTAGGATGATCCAGACAAAGAGCATAAAAGTCATTCACCGAAGTGCCCTTTCCTCAAATCCAAGCAATATGAACAAATGACTTATGAAGAAGGTTTAACAATGGATGTTGAAAGATATTGTACTTATCTTTCCAAGATTCTTTCGGATCAGTATGATGTCCAAAAAGTCCGAAAGGCATTTAAAATGTTAACTGATATTGTATTATCCAAACTACCAAAGCGAAATAAAAAAAAGAAATCGAACCTCAGCAAAACAAAACACTCAATTATGTCAAATTCAAGTATTAAGTCAACCAGGAGTACTCGAAGCAAAAGAATATGAATGTGTTTGATTTTTTTACAAACCTGAATTATTTGTATATTTTGTACAATAATAGTTGTTTCAATCATACCATACATCATTTTGATAGCATCAAGCAACAGGGACTAATCCGCATGTGTTCTTTTTTCATTTATTAATGGTAGATGTCACTTTATCTTAAAATGTTGGTATTACAGTCTCCAGTAAAGATAGGTGAAGTTTATTAAACATTAATAATTATGCTCATTACTTACTAGTAAGGCCTTTTATTTTCAATGAGTTTGTTGTACTGTCTTAGCATACATTGAGTTAGACAGAATGGATAGATTGTGGTGAGCAGTGTAAACCAGGACCCATGTTTCCTCTTATTTGTGACTGGCTAGCTGGACCTACCTACATCCCAGTATTGACTTTCGCACTTTATGACTCGTACCCCGTACCTTTCGCTCTAAATATTCATGTAAGTATAATACCTATTTCACAAGTGGACGGCTGTGTAGACTAGTTAATAATGCGACAGGCGTTAAAAGCAAAAGGTGGAAACATATGATAATAGTGAAGTAAACCTAGCTAACAAGTTCCGAGTAGAACAGAACACGCTTTATGAGTTTCTCAGCCAATAGCAAACCATTTGTTCTATTAGAAACCTATGATAAAATGGGTATATCGGGGCAACCCTCACAGTGTGCTTATGTATCAGCAAAGACTGAACTGCTAACATCTAACTGGTGATCAACTCAATATTTCTGGCATGGATCGATCAAGATAACTTGTTGAAATACTTTGTGCTGAGGATTCTATATTGTACCAAAAATATAATATTGAACAAAGTCGACCGTTGTTGCTACCTTGACGTCGTGGTCAGGCTTGCCTATTGAGATGAACCAATCGAGCTATACTGCCTAGAACATTCGTTCCTCAAGGTCCTAACGTGCCAGTTGAGGAACGGTAAGACTAAACACCGCAAACCCAAGATCCGAAGTCGTACTGCTGATTGTACAGAGGTGTGATGGCAGTAGGCTGTTCCTTTCAGACAACCAGCATGACAGCGATGCTGCCTTCCCACAAGGAGGGGTTAGGGTAGGAAAGGTCGATCGTAAATATGCACATCTCTCCTAATCCCACGAATATCCGTTTCCGGCAGCAAGGTCTCAACAAGTACGGAGCTAACACGAGAACTACTCACGAAAAGGTCGTGTGTGACCGACTTCAGGCAGTTGTTCCTTGGGCACTGCAGTCACTCTGTCAGGTCATTAAAACCGTCCCTAACCCAGCTTCTTCAGGCACCTCCAGAAAAACCCTTCTACGATGTGGGCAAACTGGAAGTGATAATTACCCTCATACCTCTAACAGCACTAAAGTCCATTGATGCTGTTGAAAAAATGCATTTTAACATAAAAGTATTGTATAGTTTGATTGGACAAATTTAAAAAGTCCTACTAACCTAATCAAGTGAATTTATGGTTGTTACGCTGAAATGATTTCAATGAATTATTTAAGATCCCCTATTCAACTATTTAAGGATAGAAAAGAAAAGACAATAACAAATACATACGACAATGACACATTTTCTTTTTTTTTATCAATCAATATTTCATCCTGAGGTTGTTGTTGATGTTGTTATTTTCTCTTTTGTATTATCTAATTTAAATCAATAAAAAAGAGACAAGACACTAGAAAAGAAGATGACCATCAAAAGATATGAGAATAAGAGATGAAGAAGTAGACGAAGTAAAAGGGATCCATACAATCTATCAATGATACAACATGTTTATTAAATGTAATGCATAAATGAAATGGAAAATCCTATTAAATTATACAAATAGATATCGTCATCATCATAATTATTATTATTATTATTATCAAATTGGTATTGAAATGAAGAGTAAGCCTATTTGAATTGTATGATTATCATCTGTAACTAAAAAAAAAATTCACCAGAAACAAAAGAAACCAGAACAAAGAAATTGTTGTAATGATTCATTGAAATGGTCAATGTATCATCCAATTGCTATGCGCTAAATAGAAAGACAATCTTTCTAACATTATTCATTTGTATGAATTTCATTCAGTTTTTTTTAAAAAAATATAAAAAAAAATTTCTATAATTAGGCAACAATTAAAGCAGACAATATTCTCCTTCTGTAACTTCTAAATAAACAAAAAAATCAGAAACGATTATATCAATAATGAAGGGACATTTCCGAAAAAAACAAACAAAATGCAATTGTCATGATGTAGAGAAGAAGAAACAAAAAAACAAAGAAATGAGCCCATATATATATATATATAATCAAAGATGATGAATATTCATATAAATGGAAATATTGATTTTCAATATTTAAAGTTTCTTACATAGTTACTACTACAATTAAAAAAAGGAGTAAATCAATGAAGAAAGAAAAAAAATTTAGTTTACTTAATGTTCATTAAAAAGTTTTATCTTTAAATTATCTAGTTAATAACCGTTAAAAGAAATTCAATTTCAATTATGTATGATGAAAGGGTATAAAACATGTTTTGTTTGTTTGTTGTTGTTATTATTACTATAGTTGAGTGATTATCCTTATTTGTACAGTTGTATAAACAAACACCGGGAGATGGGATTTTTTTTTTTTTTAAGGAAAAGAATTCATAATAGGAAAGAATGTATATATATATTGAAAGAGAGTGTTGTCTTTCATAATGTGGTTTAGGCCCTGGATCAAAGTTCAATGAATTAAAAATCAGTAAACAATCAAGTTTATTTTAATAATAATGAATATTTTGTTTAATAATAAGTAAGTAAGTAAAAGTGAATAAGAATACAAGGCACTTTCAAACGTTCAAAAAAAAAGTGAGTTTAAAGTTGAATACATGATGATTATTTGTTTAAATTGAAAGAAGAACAAAAAAAATAAAGAAGAGAAACAGAAGGGAACTAATTCAAATGAAACAATGAAAGGATCAATGAATGAGTTGTGAACTATATTAAATCTTGTATTGTGTGTGTGTATGTGTGTGCTATATATATATACAAACATTAGATAATTAACACATTTGAACTGTACAAATATGCGATGAATTTGATAATTCTTGTGTTGTCATTGAATTCTCATTGAAATGATGCGATGGAGAATGTTCATTTTGTTGATTATTTATATTCGTATTATTATTATTACGTTGATCATATAGGATAGTTGTATCTTGATTTAATAAAGTTGAATTTAATTTACGTTTCTCTAAATGACGTTTATTTTGACAATGATCATGATCATTTATATTATTATTACAATGAAACATTCGAATATTATCATCAGCATTATTATTAACATCATCAATATTATTATTAGTATTATTATCAGCTGGACGATATGATAATTCAGATGATGTAAAATAATCTTCAAAATAATTACATAAAAAAGCAAATGTTGGTCTACATTCTGGTTTAGCATCCCATGTATTTAACATTATTTCATATATAGAATTAGGACAATTTAATGGACATGGCATACGATAACCATTTTCTACTTGTTGTAATGTTTCTGTATTATTCATTGATGGAAATGGTACTTGTCCATAAGTAATAATTTCATATATAACAATACCAAATGACCATACATCTGATTTAATTGTAAATCTACCCATTAATGCAGCTTCTGGTGCAGTCCATTTTATAGGAAATTTAGCACCCTAATATTAAATGAAAAATGAAAAAAAATAAAGTTACGTCATCAGTTTAAATTAAAATGATAAGCATCTTTACCCCTTATATGTTTTAATAGCAAATAATATCCATGATCATATGTTTCTTAACGGATAGTTTCTATGCAACTTAATTAGTGAACTAAAATAAAACCAGTATAGGGGTTGTGGAGATTATTAAGTTTTTGATTGAGATAATAAACCGATTGATGTTAAACCACCACTAAAAAACTGGAATCATTGGAGGACCGTTTTGCTCCACAGTGGGACTCCTCAGCAGTGCGCATCCACGATCCTGCCTCGCGGGATTCGAACCCAGGGCCTTCAGTCTCGCGTGCGAACGCTTAACCTACTGGACCACTGAGCCGGCATTCAATGGTGTTAGTGTCTAACATCAGCCAATCCATGAAATTGCGCGACCATCTTCCATTGTACTGAGGTAGATACCTGTTTCTACCCAACACGAATTAGCTCCACAATAGGACGAAACGGCCATCCAGTGATTCCAGGTTTCTAACATCAATCGGTTCATGATCTTAATAAACTAAAACCAAATTTAGACAAGTACGTTCTAGTGATTAAAATAAATCACTTGAAGTTTGTCTGCTACGTCGAAGTATAATTTCAAGTAAATCTTATATAACCATTTCGTGAATCTATACACTGGTAATTTGTGGATATTCTAGTGTAAACTGACTAACGAAATATGTGTATTACTTATAATAAAAATTTGGTGATATTATTAAATTTCTATGATCTCCACAGAAGCCCTATCTGATTATAATCATTGTATGCTTACTAGTTACTCTCTTCAAGAGGTATTTTGTGGAGGTCTAATAAGAAGTTGTGACCAGTGAAATAGTAACTCACTTAAGACAATGGTGAAAGGTAACGCGATTTCGTGGATTGGACGAGGTTCGACATTAACACCATTAAATGCCGGTAGGTTCAGTAGTTCAGAGGTTAAGCGTTCGCGCGCTAGACTGAAGGTCCTAGGTCTGAACCTCGCGGTGCGGAATCGTGCATGCGCACTGCTAAGGAGGAGTCCCATAGTAGGACGGAACGGCCTTCCAGTGCTTCCAGGTTTTCCATGGTTTCCTAGATTCAATTGACTTATAAAGTCAATTATTCAAGATATTAACATTACTGAACTATTAGACTTGGTTGTGTTTAACTTTTCGATTTTCTAAATGAGAATTCATTGAAATTAATAAAAAGTTTTTTCTTTTAAATAAAAACTAAAATATTCAATCATTTAATAAGAAACTACTTGTTTAGCTGTATATGTTTCATTTCCACTATCAATAATTCGAGCTAATCCAAAATCAGCAACTTTCACTGAATTATTTTCACCGACAAGTATATTTCTTGCGGCTAAATCACGATGAATATAATGTTCCTTTTCTAAATAAGCCATACCACTGGCAATCTATGGAGAAAAAGAAGAAGAAATAAAGAAAAGGTGATGATGAAAAAGGTGCAGGTCTATAAAAGTTTACTAATGAAATACAATCAATTTTTTAAGTGATATGGTTGGCTTTTTAACAGATTCATTAACATTAAGGTGTAATTTTCAATGAAAGATTGAAGTAATTTCTATATGTCTATAAGATCGAAACTTGGATTACTGTTATTTGTAAAATTTTTATTTGTGAAATATTGCTTCAGGATTGAGTTGCATCGACAACTAAACTAATGATAGGGAGTGAAGTAGTTGAGCGTGTCGACTGCTTAACTTGGGAGTTTCATCAAGCTTTGCGGTCTGGTGTGACGAAATCTCAGTACGGATACAGAAAGCCCGACTAGCTTCTTCCAACTTACGTCATTTATGGCGTAGGTGAGATATCCGTCTACCAAACAAAGGATGAGTCTTTTGTGCAGCAGTTCGTTTTTTCCTACTTTATTGGCTGTGAAACATGGCCGGTAAGAATAGAGGATATTCGTAGGTTACTAGTATTTGATCATAGGTGTCTTCGAAACATTGCTCGTTTATCCTGGGACCAACGAGTAAATGCTGCAGTTGCTAGGAAACGGGTATTATGTAAGGATTGCAAATCAACTGATGAAGTAGTGAGAATTCATCAGCTGAGATGGCTGGGACATGTGTTAGGTATGCCCAACCACCGACTGCCTCAGCGTGAGATGTTTTATGGTGTAGGAGTAGGTTGGAAAAAAGTTAGAGCCTGCCAGACCAAAACAAGGTAGGTGTAGACTACCTGGTTGGGATCCTTGATGGTTAGAGACATGGCACAGGTGCATCCACGTTGTACCTTAACTAAACTAGTTGTGAGATCTTGCCATGATCCAATCTTTACCATTCTTCAAATGTTATGAATTTGTTTCAGTTGTTTAATTTTCACTTTTAAAGCAATAGAAACATGTAAACAGTGCTGAAAAAAAGTGAAAATCACATAACATTTACTTAGATGAATTTAAATTCCAATGTTGTGTAAAATAAGGGGATTTCAATCTTCTGAATAAATTATAAACAGTTCAGTTTAACCATGTCGAGAATGAGGAATGGAAGATTGTCGTCTAATATTTTGAAGTGATCAGAATGAGACAACTAGATACCTGCTTGATGGTCTAAAAGTTAGATATTGGAGAAAGGTCTTGGATTCGATTCCCTGATGTGGGGGTCGTGCATGTGCACTACTTAGGAATCCCACACTGGGACGAAACGGTGTCTAGTGCTTTCAAGATTCTAGTGGTGATCTAACTAAGACCAGCTCGAGATCTGATACCTATGAAAATGCTATGATCTTCAATAAACATTACACTGTTAAAAATTATAAGCAATCCAGTTAATGGATTAAGGGATAACTTCAGTGTAGCTATATAATACTGGTGAACATGAGGACGCTAAAAATGACGTTGTGGCTTTCTATGCCCTATACTTGACATGATTAAGTAGGTCATCGAAATCAAGGATTTTATTTCCTTAGAAATGTAATAAGTTCTGATATTTATAATGATTCTATATGAATTACAAATTTCCTATGGCTATTCGCTACGTTGAACTAGAATATTTTCATTACGAAAATTCATTTATTCGAAAGAAGATTAATATAAATTTGGATATTTTAGCGGGTCATAAACTATTCTCCATCGTCTTTATAATAATTATGCTCAGACTTCTTGAATAATCGACTAAACGACGTAAAATAATTGTCTGAGAATTATGTTTATGAAAATCGTGATCTTTTTAAACCATAAATGCCACACAAAAGTACTTAGTTAGGGGCGTTACCACTGAGTTGGATGACACGGGATTGAATCCATCAGGGAGCATCAGTTCCCTCAAGATTACAAGTACACCTTGCTGACGAATGCCAAGTAGCACGAAACTTTGGCCCAGGGTTTCTTGTTGATTACCTTCAACTACCATTTTATCTCAACATGGTGCACACAATGTCGAGTCATCTAGACTGGTGACCACATTGAAACTTGGTCGATAGAATTCGATCTACACCAAGAAGCACCTGACATACATGGCATTGATTACCATTCAGCGATTAATCAATTGTAAACCAATAAACTATAGCACACATAAAATATGAAATAATTATGATCCCAACTTACTTGTGCCATCATATCAATTAATGGTTTCAATCCTAATTCTTTGCCAGGACCATCACGTAAATATTTTAATAAACTACCATTTTTCATTAATTCAGTAATAATATAAATTGGTTCAGCTGTAACTACAGCATATAAACGTACAAGTCTTGGATGATGTAATTGCTTCATAATACGTGCTTCTTTAAGAAATTCTTCTTTAGTCATTGTACCTTGTTTTAATGTTTTCACAGCAACTTCAATAGTTTCATTCCATTTTCCTGAATAGTTTCATTTAATAAATAATTATAACAATAGTATTAAAGTGATTAACTTAATCAATAAGAAAATAACTTTATAATGGCAATCAGAAATATGTTTGAACAGATGACATAAGAAGTTAGTATCAAATACTTTTAGAGAATGGATTATCTTAGTGATATAGAAGATGGTATGAAGATGCGCCACATAAATCATTCGGTTTGTGTGAGGGGTTTGGGTACTGCCCGGGTGCCCGAAACGAAGCATGTGGTTTTCGTAAAGGGCCACACCGGGAGCCTTCGACCTAAAAATCTAATACATAAGGCAGTGGAACAACGTCAGGAGATGCAGTCCCATGGTAAGTCAGTGACCAACGATTGGTGTATACTCCTTTTGTTCCTACAGGATCGTGGAGCCCATGCTTCGGTTTGAACACCCGGACAGTATTCCAGCCCTAACACAAATCGAATGATTTACGTAGCGCATATCTATTTGATGCCTCCTTGTACAAATGTTTGTGTTGAAATAAAATAAATAATAAATGTGCACCAATAATTTGGAATCATGACAGATTCCTGGTGATCGACTGGATCATGAATACGTCAACATCTGAAGGGAAACACGGGATACAATGGACATCTAGGATGCAGTTGGACGATCTAGACTTCGCAGATGATCTGGCCCTTCTATCCCAAACGCAACAACAAATGCAGGAGAAGGCGAACAGTGTAGCAGCAGCCTCAGCAGCAGTAGGTCTCAATATACACTAAGGGAAAAGCAATATTCTCCGATACAACACAGCATCCACCAATCCAATCAAAATTGACGGAGACAATTTGGACGATGTAAAAACCTTTACATATCTGGGCAGCATCATTGATGAGCATGGTGGATCTGATGCAGATGTGAAGGCGCGGATCGGTAAAGCAAGAGCAGCATATTTACAACTTAGAAACATCTGGAACTCAAACCAACTGTCAATCAACACCAAGGTCAGGATTTTTAATACAAATGTCAAAACAGTTCTACTGTATGGGGCAGAAACTTGGAGAACTACGAAAGCCATCATCCAGAAAATACATTTGTCTACGCAAAATACTTCGGATCCGTTGGCCGGACACTATTAACAACAACGTACTTTGGAAGAGAACAAACCAGATCCCATCAGAGGAAGAAATCAGGAAGAGGCGCTGGAAGTGGATAGGACACACATTGAAGAAAGCACCCAACTGCGTCACAAGAAAAGCCCTCACATGGAATCCTCAAGGCCAAAGGTGAAGAGGAAGACCAAAGAACACATTACGCCGGGAAATGGAAATAGACATGAGAAAAACGGACAAAAATCGGATGGAACTAGAAAAGGAGGCCCAGGACAGAGTGGGTTGAAGAATGCGAGTCGGCGGCCTATGCTCCATTAGGAGTAACAGGCGTAAGTAAGTAAGTATTGATTTGGAATCAGGGTTTTCTAACTTCCGTAGGTGGATCCTCCATATCCGCCAACACGGTTAAAGCACCTTTAGTCCTCTCAATTTATTAGGCAACAATAATTCTACAAGAAAGGAATGAGCAGGACTTCACTGTCTGCGACTGTATACGCGTGGCAATGTGAGAGCATTTCAAGAGGGGGAGCTGACTCTCCTCACTCTCGGCCGTATCAGGGCATTTGTGGGCGATGAATTAATACACATTAAGTAGATTACTATAGACAATATTCATGGATAGTTTTCAATGAAATCAGTCTAGAATCTCTAAATTTGTTAGCTCACTTAGTTATGAAGCATGAAAAAAATAAATAAGAAATAATTAATCAGACAAGTACACACTTCAGTAGCCCATAATAACCCAATGGGTTAATGGGTAATATATTAACTTGTGCAATGAGTATATATTTTATCAGAAAATCTCATTATATCGGTCTCCAGATAAACTTAACCGATGAGTTTTGCATTTTATTTCCATACACAGTCCTTCACAAAGTTTTCCTTCAGTAGTGCGACAACTTATTTTCCTTCAGAAGTATTTAGTTATTCGAACTGCAGCTGTATGAATAAGACATCTAGGAAACCTGGGATGACTATGAATTGTATTCGATGGATGAAGTCACTGAATAATAAACTATGGCTTATAAAATTACGAGGCTTTAAACGGTATTTATTTACCGGATGTTCAGTTTGTTTCCTAAGAATTTATATAAAATTAAGTGTAACCTTTGTGTATCAGTTTTTCTCTGACAACTATGAATGAGGTGTAACCTGTGAACTGATTACCAGTTCATACAATAAAATGATATACAACTATGTTATTCGGCAATGATAAGCTGTAATTACGTTATCACTTTTCTTAAAATTAGCCAGCCTATTTATTATCTATTAAAATTAACCGATTCTATTGAAACTGTCTCAGCTATTTAAAGTCATCTGCACATATGTGATTAGTTCAAATAGTTTATTCTTCAACAATGAATACAACTAACTTCAAATTGATATTAGTGAAAGGTTATTTTCATTAATTTGGATTCTGATTGAGATTATGAACTGACTGATAATAGACCACCATTGAAAACCTGGAAATCGGATAGAGACAGGTATCTAGCTCAGTAAAATGGGAGATGGTCTTGCGATTTCGTGGATTGGCTGAAGCTAGACATGAACACAGTTGGATGCTGGTTCAGTGGTCTAGGGGTTAAGCGTTCGCGCGCAAGACTGATAGGTCCTGGGTACGAATCTCGCAAGGCGGCGGGATCGTGGATGCGCACTGCTGAGGAGTCCCACAATAGAACGAAACGGCCGTTCAGTGCTTCCAGGTTATCAATGGTGGTCTAACATCAATCGGATCATGATTTCAATCAAAAACTTGACAATCTCCACAACCCTATACTGATACATTAATTTTGCAGCATTGTTAAAATTGACGAATAATTGCCATATAGCAAACACAAATCATTTTTATAATAATTCAATAATAATGACATAAAATATAAGATAGTGTAGGTTTCAATAGTAGTAGTTAGTAGTATTATCGGCAATTTTAATCTAATAAACCATATAATGAACCAAATACGAGGCCGACTAACAAATTCAGTTCACTTATAATACAAACTTGCAAACAGATTAGTTGAATATTAAAACATTAATATATCGTGAACACTATTTATAAGTAATTATTTAAGATATACATATAAAGTGCAGTATGTGCTACTGATGTTGACAGATATAAGTAGTACGTAACACCAATCAAAAGTGGAATGCCTGGAAGCAGAAGACTGAATTGAAGATAACAATAATGTAAACAGGGAGTAATTGTAATAAAAACAGGAATGAAGTTTGTGAGAAAAGATTTTAAGGTGTGCAAATGATGTACTTAATGTATGATATTTACATTTTACTAAATCACTATGTGGTTATAGCCCACCAAATCTTCGTTCACTATAAAAGTATTTGATTAATTATGACATTCTTTTCTCTTTCCATACAGACGATACCTTGTAAACTTCAATAATACGGGCTGTAAAGGGATTTCTTATTCCTCAGAGTGTTATGAAACAATAAAATTGTTGATTATTACTGTGAGATGTATGAAGAACTAAGCGCTTTCTCATCCAACCTTTAAAAAAGAGTATACATCAGTGGTTGGAGGTTTGAAATCAATATACTAACATATATTGACAATAACTTATTACTCTACACGTACGTATTCCATATTACACATTGACTTATTATTTAATAGGAATAGTCTTCTTTCGTTTTATTGTTTGATCAGATATTTTTTTATATTCTCATTTAACTTTATTCTAACCAGCCAACAGATATCTACCATTTAACTCTTATCAAAATGATTGTTTTCTATTTTACAAACAGATCTGATTCTAACATTGAAAGATAAATTACATCGTTTAGTTTAAGGTAGTGTCAAGACAGTTCTACTGTATAGGGTGGAAACTTGGAGAACTACAAAAGTAATCATCAAAAAGATACAAGTGTTTATTAACAGCAGTCTATGCATAATACTACGGATTCATTGACTAAACACCACAGCAACAACAACCTACTGTGGGAGAGGACAAACCAGATTTCAGCAGAGGAACAAATCAGGAAGAGGCTCTGAAAGTGGATAGGACACATAATGAAGAAAGCACTCAACTGCATCACAAGGTAAGTCCTCGCATGGAATCCTCAAGGCCAAAAGTGAAGAGGAAGACCAAAGAACACATTACGCCGATAAATTGAGACAGACATGAGAAGAATGAACAATAGGATAGAACTAGAAAGAAAGGCCCAGATCAGAGTGGGTTGAATAATGCGAGTCGGCGGCCTATGCTCCATTAGGAGTAACAGGACTAAGTAAATAAATTGAAGGTAATTAAAGCTAAACACTACAAATTTATGCTTCATAAATTCATATTATAAACTATTTCAAAATACAACAGTATAAGTACAATTTACCTTTCCAAACTTCACCAAATTGACCAGCACCTAATAATTCAATTAATTTCAATGAGGAACGTGAAATTTCCCACTGATCTCTTGTTAATCTTGATAAATCAGTTGGTACAGGAGGTGGTCTTGGACATGGACGTGTAAGACAACAACATAAACCATCCGCTTGATTAGAATAATGAATAACTAATGATTTTAAATCAGGAAAGACTTGTTTTGTAGTTATATACACATCACCAGTTTCAGAGGATTGTTTAATTTTATAATGTTTTACAGTTTCACCTCTTTGTTGTTCTGTATCACGCACTGACAAGGATAGAGCACCTTATGTTGAAGAGGAAAAGAGAAACAATAATAAAATATAAAAAATAATCACAAACCACGGAAAATTTAGTATTAAACTGTTCCTAACTGTAGTCGTCCAATCTTGCTACACTTAGTATATGCGTGTCCAAATCAGCTACTAAACAGAACGTGATATACTTACTTTCCGTAAATCAGATTCTAAAAAATAAACTTGAATTTTTTTACTTTATAGTGAACTATACTCATGAGACTTGTGTTTGTACGTATGGCATAAGTTCCAAGCATGTTGAAAATCTAAAATGGTGGTTGGTCGGAGGTAGTCAACAGAAAACCCTAGACCAGGGTTTTGTGCTACTTGGCACTCGACAACAAGCTGTACCTGTAATCTTGGGGAAACTGGTGCTCCCTGACGAATTCCATCCCGTATCACCCAGCTTCACAGTCAGACACGTTACCACTGGGCTATCCGGGCCGCGACCACCCAGTGATCAATCAATTATGATGTTGAAAATTTAAGCACTCCTTTGTAATGATTGGTACATACAGTAGATACCGAAGTTGTTCTACTATCTAACTGTTCATAATACAGTATCTAAGTGAGTGACAGTTACATTCGCGATCTACTTGTCAACCAATAAAGCTGAAATACAGTAATGAAACATAATTAGAAATCGGCTTTTATTGGTAATAATTCTTTCTGGATCCCTTCATAGATCATGACGCGTACTAGGCCCGGATAAAGGAGAAAGACAATTAGGAGCGAGGTTGTAAAATCAATCCCGTTAAAAAAGAATCTTGGTGAGAAAATGCTAACCAGAGAAATTTATCTAAACAATTTATCATCATTAAAAAACATATACAAAGGGTGAGAGAAGCACTTACCATTTGTTGTTTCACTAGCTCGAACCAGAAATGTCCCACGAATATTTCCTTTTAATAATAAAAGACGTTCTGAATCTTTTCTTGATATACTTCGGAAGTACCAACTATAGTTCGCAGGAAGATGATGCACCGTTAAAGGCAAGAAAAGAATTAATTGAGAAACATGGTGATATAAAGGATATTAAATATAAGTCAGTCATAATCAACGTAAGGACTATAATAAATATGCACCACATTAGCAAAACAGGATAAAATTGACAGGATAGACAGTAAACAGAGTCAGAATAATTGGAACAGTAATGATAGTCAGAAAGACCAGACACTATATAGGTTTTAACGCTACAATCTGAATAGTACAGATCAATCCTGTGGCGCAACCACACAGGTACCAACCACGGTGGTGGACCATTCGCACCATTCATATACAAATTCACATCACATGTATAATTATTCCGATCAATGATCGCGTGAATCAATGATGCACAGCACGAACAGGCCAAAGTTGACCTATTCCGCTTATGCAACAGTCAAACTCATTCATGTTAGAAATGGCGACATGCCTTACAATATCCCAATGACAATATCCTTTGAGAACAGTGAAAAGCAACCACCAGTATGAATGAAATCGTTCAACCAGCAAACCAATTTTGCGCATGAACAGTCGGCAAAACTTGTCAAAACAATGACGAACTATCCACAATACCAATGGTGAACCTCCAGTCTCATATGAGACCTTCAGTTCTACATAACAATATAGCTTATACAAAATAGCCTGACTTGAAGCGTTCAGGCTTAAAGAACGCTTAAAACCTATTGTCTCATGTTGGAATATTATTATAAGATCATTTTTATCGTATTAACAAAATTTTTTTCCCGACTTTTCAAACCCTGAATTATGGAGTAGTAGTATCCCTTTTTTTTCTTATTCCTACTGTTTAGATTAAATAATAGTCATTTTATTTTCTTCTTTATTTTAGACTAATTAATCAGAGAGAAAATTGTAATTTGTAATTTTAGAAAAAGAGAAAAAGAATAATCTGTCAAACATTTAGACGAACATTATTGTTCAAAAGGTTAAACCGAAATAAACATTAATGTTATAGTTAAATGTTAACAAGAAGAAGAAGAATCATAATTGGTTTGTTTCTGTTTTTCAAAATGAAAGATGAAGATCAAAGAAAAAAAAAGAATGAAAGTAGAATGTCTATTGGTGTTGGCGTTGTTGTTGTTGTCCATATGAAATGAATTAATAAAGTTAACGTTCCATTTCTAGTTTTTCGTTTTTAAGAAATTTATCAGTAGTTTAGATGGAAACAAAAGAGGTTACTGTTGAAGTGATCCAGAAAACTTGCAAAAGACAAGAAAGACTCAGGAAACACTAAGAAGCATTTTATCTAGTCAGTGTTCAGTAGAAGTTTAGCCAGAAATATCAATAAAGTATAAAGTCACATTTCGAGTTTCTGACTGACTGATTACTATACTGCTACTATGTTTAGTAGCATTCCAGAATTTTCGGAAAACACAAGGACATCTAAAATACTGTAAAGACCCTATATTTTCTGTACTTAAACGAACCTTTGGAGTAAAGTGCTTCTCGTATATTTTGCGCCTTTTCTCTCGTGTTCAGGTCGCTGTGTAGTTCTAGCTTGGGGGTTACGAGAATAGCTTAGGAATTGAATATAGTGTTCAATTAGCAAGACTTACCACTTACTTGAATATTTGAGCTACTTGTTTCTTCCATTGGTTGGTTTTATTATGCTTATCAACCTCATAACCTATTCGGGTGTGTTTCTGAAAAGTGTACAACTTTTCTCTGTACAACTTACGAAGAAGAGCTCAATCAGAAATATCGTGGATGTTGCCAATATGAATTAAAAAGAATGAAAATTATACAGATGTCTATTCCTGAATTGCTAACATCTAACTGGTGATCAACTCAATATTTATGGCATGGATCGATCAAGATAACTTGTTGAAATACTTTGTGCTGAGGATTCTATATTGTACCAAAAATCTAATATTGAATAAAGTCGACCGTTGTTGCTACCTTGACGTCGTCGTCAGGCTTGCCTATTGAGATGAACCAATCGAGCTATACTGCCTGGAGCATTTGTTCCTCAAGGTCCTAACGTGCCGGTTGAGGAACGGTAAGACTAAACACCGCAAACACAAGATCCGAAGTCGTACTGCTGATTGTACAGAGGTGTGGTGGCAGTAGGCTGTTTCTTTCAGACAACCAGCATGACAGCGATGCTGCCTTCCCACAAGGAGGGGTTGGGGTAGGAAAGGTCGACCGTAAAAATGCACATCTCTCCTAATCCCACGAATATCCGTTTCCGGCAGCAAGGTCTCAACAAGTACGGAGCTAACACGAGAACTACTCACGAAAAGGTCGTGTGTGACCGACTTCAGGCAGTTGTTCCTTGGGCACTGCAGTCACACTCTCAGGTCACTAAGACCACCTTCAATCCAATTTCATTTTTAGGTACCTTCAGGAGAACGCTTCTACGATGTGGGCAACCAGGAAGTGATAACCGCCTTCATATTTCTAACAGCACTCAAGACTGATTAATAGTAATATTAATCATGACTAGCCGAATGAACACAAGTGTATCCTCAAAGAAAAATGGAAAAATATATGAATTTACATAGAATGATAATGTGTGTGTGAGGTGGGGAGAATGATGGATTAGTTGATAAGAAAATGAATAAAATATTTTATTCATTATCCAACTTGGAAGTATCTTCTATCATAAAAAATGTATTAAAGGGAATGAATACTCATAATAATACTTCTCTTTGTTTAGATTAAGTGTCACATTTCAGTACAGAAACAGAAAATTATCTGAAATAAACCTGGAGATGGGATAAGCAAAGAATAAATATAATACAGGGAAAAACAATATTTTGTTTTACCTGCTTAAAGTCATTTAGTAAATGATTAATTCCATAATTCAAAATAGAAGGGAAATAACACATCATGAGTATGACTGAAATGCAACAGTGTATAATAGTAGATGTAATTATACTACGCGTGTACATATATGAAATACCTATCAAATGTACTTTTTTCCTTCCCTTGCTCCAACCTCTGCACTCGACAATACCGAAAAATTTCATGATGGTATCGTTTTGTTTTCGATACACATAATCAGATTACACAGTCAAATAACTAAGTTAATTATCACAGGCAATGGAATATGTTCGTCCGATACGGAAGTTAGACATGTACACCATTAGATTTGGCTCAGTGGTCTAAACGTTATGCGTTCATGTGCAAAATAGAAGGGTTTGTATTATATTCCCAAATCCGGGTTGTGAGTGTGCACTGCTCAGGAGTCCCATAATAGGAAAACAAGGTCATACAGTGCTTCCTCGTTTCTAATGGGTTTTTTTTATTTAAGATCAACTTGTAGTTCAAACTATGAAAATCCTACGATCTCCACAAATTCCCTTTTACAAATAAGTATGTGTAAATTTTAGTATAGAATAGATGGAACGTGGTTGTTTGGACCTCCACACTGATGTTATGGACTAAAATAAATCGGTCTCTTCAGGAATATATATATATATATATATATATATATATATATATATATATATATATATATAGTGAAAATTGCTTCGACACTACTATTAAATCACAAGCATTTTAATCAGAGCTGGATGACGGCGAGTTCTGTATGCTGCTTCTAACCAGGAACCGAATATACAAATGAAGAGGCAGTATCGGAACATAGGGATACGATGTCAACAAAGACTGATAAACAATAAAAAATCCATACCATTACAAATAAAAAGAGAACTGACAATAATTAGAAGACGTTTTCTAGAAGTAAAATACTTAAGGGAGATAAGATTTCAAGAAGAATTAAGGCAGACAAATGTTTTTCTTCGATATACATTTACACATCAGCATTGGCTAAAATGTTGAATGTATCAATATAAAGGTTAGACACGCGTGCACGCACACCTTAATTACTTAAAGGTTAGACGGCGAGACTATAATTTATGGACTTCTATTCCGAGAGTTGCGGGCCCCCGAATGCCCTGGTACGGCCAAAAGTAGGGAGAGTCCGCTACCCCTCTCGAAATGCTCTCATATGGCTACGCGTATATAGCCTCTACCAGGAAAGTCCTACTCACTGCCTTCTCTCACCGGGGTGTTGTTTACGAAAATGAGAGGACGAAAAGCGAATGTCTGGCGCTTTAACTGGATTCCAAACTAATGGTGCACATGGGCTCTGGTACCCTGAGGGAAAAAATGGCGTGTGAACCGATCGTTAGTCACCGGCTACCATGGGACTGTATCTCTTTACGATGCTCCACTGCCTTGTAGATCAGATTTTTAGGTCAAAGGCTCCGGGAGTGGCCCCCAAGAAAACCACATGCTTCGGTTTGGGCACCCGGGCAGTACCACAGCCCTCACACATATCGAATGAGATTTGTGTGGCGCATATGTATTTGGTGCTTCATTGTACCGATTTTTATGTGTTAAAATAAAGAAAGAAAGAACTAATCAGGTAAAAGGTAATAGATCTTTGATTTTGGCACGAAATTCACTCATCCATTTGGCTAAACAGAGTTTTTACAGTATAGCTGATGTTAGTTCGTGATGAAAACCCTCAATGTAATTTCTAACCTTAACTATGAACTGTAAATCATAATTTTAATTGTCTACACTGATTTATAACCCTCATTTGGTCCTAGTTATTAGGTGAACACTTTCAAGGTCACTTTGGCGTCACTCAACAGTCATCCATAAATCATAGTCTCACCGGTTAGACTCAATAATTGAATAAAATGCGATTGATGATAACTAAAAGAGTAGAAAATGGAATTGCTGACGTCTCACAACCTGATTTAAATTGTTTCTTTATAGAGTAAATAGATAAATGTATCAAATTTAAACAAGTTAAAATAGTAAACAGGAACAAGGTAGAATAGTTAGTTCAATCAAAATCAGCATAAGTTTGATCATTTTAATATTAGGTGAATTATTTGGTCAATGTAATTCTGTATAGGACATTCGTGTATATATTTGCGTTTATATGATAGTGTTAAGATTTCTCTTATTACGACTTAGCTACTCTTATTGCTTAGT